GCCCTTCCCAGGAGCTGCCCCAGCTGTAGGGACCTGGATTGTGCCCCTCTTGTACCCACCCAGCTGCCCCACGTCCTACTTGTGGGGCTCCCCCGATCTACAAGGACTTGGGCTGCGCCTGTTTGCCACCCGCGGCGTCGCCCCCAGCTGTAGGGACCTGCCACTGCCATGGGGTCACTCCTGGCTGTGGGGGCTCGGGGCTGCCCCCCCCTCCTCCCCCGCCCACGCCTGACTCATGACGGCAGCACACGCTATGAAAACGGGGAGAAAGCTCTGCTGTAATTTCTGTGCCCACTGCTGCGATTTCTGTGCCCACTGCTGCGGGTTTCACAGTTCCCTTATTCCATGGCAGAGATTTCCCGGCAACGCCTGAACTGGCTCACAGCGTGGGTTAACTTTTTTTGTGTGATTAACAGACTGCTGGTAGTTTTGTTCAGCAATGCACTGGGGGGGGCAGGAGCCTAGGAGATAATCCCACGGGAAATTCAGTGTTCTGGAGGTGTGGCTTTGCGTGATCCGTTGCTGCGGGATCCCTGTGTTATCCGAGAGCTTTGCGGTGGAGCAGGGTCACGATAAACAAGTGTCGGGAAGCCTGCCAGATAGTGAAACCTCAGGGGAGCATCCTGCCAGGTGCTACTGTTCTGCTTCAGGAGTCAGAGAATTCAGCTCATTTTTGGAGGAGACAAGAGGCAGGAGAAGACAGAGGGAGCCTGGACGGAGCTCCCGCTTTCCTGCAGCCACCGGCAGCTCTCTGCCTTCATCCAGGGTGGTGGGAGCTGACGTGGTGCAGGTAGGGACAACTGCACGTGTGTCGAGTGGGGGAACTCACTGCTGGCTGAGAAACAGTCATCAGTGTGATGAAAACCAGCAGAATTTATGTCTTGGCTTTTTCCTAGAATCTTGTTTTTCAGGAGAAACAGGTTCCAGAGTTCTCCCGCCGTCAAATTAAAATCATATTTGTTCCTCCTGCAGTGAGACAATTTGGTCTGGCTGAAGGGAGTAAACTGCTGAATTATCCCTGCCCCTCAGCTGTCGGGTTCATCGTTCCTCATGTCTTTTGAACGTGTGAACTCATGGGTAGAACAGAGAGAGATTAACTGGCTGTTACTAATTGCTAATCACAAAGGCTGTCAGGGTAAAATTAGAAAGGGAATGTTTTGGAGAAACCCAACCCCTCTTGCTTAGTGCTCCTGGTGTTCACGTTTCTGTGGGCAGACCCTTGAAGCAGTTTTTTGCTTTCCTGGAAGAAGCAGGTGGATTTTTTCCTGTTTTTTATTAGGAAAATACTACTGACCCAAAGATGGGAATGCCAACATACACCTAGGACAGACTAAATCCACTTAGCGTGTCTTCAGCTGAGAAGCCAATTACTGTGCGTGGCAATCCACTGTCAGTGAAACTGGTTTCTGCTCGGCCTCTGGCCCGTGTGGATAAGAGGGAGAGATGCTGCCTGGGCCCAGGTCCTGCTTGGCCAGATTCTCATCCACCCAGACAGGTCCTCCTGTAGGGCTGGGCTGTTGTTATGCCACTGGTGAGGGATGTCCTGGGATGGGGCTGGCCGATCTCGGCATGGACAACAAGCGTTTTTTCTGGGTTATCTGCGTGGTCTTTTTGAGCCTTCTCCTGGGTTTGGAGTCTGGACATAGAAGGTGCTGTTCCCAAAGTGCTCCTCAGCTTATGGAAAGACCACTTCAAGCTTTACATTGTCAGGCTTATCTAGTTAAGCTCAGGCTGCCTGTGACTGCAGTTGTCTTGGTCCCACCAGCCAGCTGCACAAACTTCAGCCTGAAGGTGTTTGCACTCACCAGTCCAGGAATGGGGTCTCTGGGAAATACAGAAGTCAAAAGCAGATTCTGGAGTATGAGGAGGCCTAAGGTGCTGGAAGGGTTCTAGGCAGCAGCTCCATCTCTCATCATGGCCTCACCAAGCTTGGGTATTTTTGAAGTTGAGCTCTAACCTCACCTCTGAAGCTGGCTCTGCTCTAAGCCAAAGGTCTGACTGGGGAGCTCCAGATGTCCCCACATCTGAGGTTTTTCCTCTCATTTCATTCTAAATGAAGTCAAGATGTAGGTAACGTGTTATCAGCACCTTATCCCCTGTGTGTAACAAGCAGAAACCTCTCTGGATTCCCAGTGGTGCTGTTGTCTCCTCACCCACAGGTCATGTCCCAGCAGCAGGAGCCCAGGATGCTGATGTGATGCCCGGTGCTGCTGGCCACAGTGGGAGCTGTGCTGGTTGCCAGGGCTATGGGGAAAGTGCAGAGTAAAATCAGCTTCCACACCTCCAAATACAGGTAAAACAACCCCGGATGATCATGTTTTAAGTTCACAAACCAGCTGGGAGCGTGACTAGAGAACAGCAGATGAACAGAAAGCAGAGCAAGCGTGTGGTTTCAGTTTCGTTACTGAATGCATGAATCAGATTTTCATTTTTACTCTCACTTCTAACGTCTGCTCAGCTTCTCTGGGGAACTGACATCCCAAACTTAGCTGGGCGTGTCCGTGTGGCTGATGGTCGTGCTCTGGGGTGGTTAAGGCAGAGCTCTGAAGGCCAGCAGCTCCAACGGTGGCTGTTTGGCCCAAATATCCAAACTGCTTCCTTGTCTCTTCATCAGCATGATTAAATCTTTCGTTAGCTGGCAGCAAGGTGGGTGAGCTCTGCCCAGAGGTCAGCTGCGAGCACAGGGTGGGACAGCAGGGACTCCAGGTGCTTGGCAAGGCTGGTGCCAGGGCAGAGGAGAGCAGCAGAGCCTGAAAGGTGTTCCTGGGAGTGGGGGCTGGTAAGATCAACCTTTCTTCTTTGTACCAGCACAGCACAGGGGAACTCCTTAGCAGCCCTAGAGGTGGAAGACTCTGCTCTGTCTTGCCTAGTCCGAGAGATGAATGAGTCCATTCACAGCTTCTCTTTGGCTTTCCAAGGGCTTTGCTGCAGCTCCCACCTCCTCTCTCTGCCTGCTGCAGGGCCCATGGCTGCACAGAGGAGACGGGGCCTGTCCGAGCCGTGGGGCAGCACAGCCCCGTGCACACCGACGGCGTCTCTTCTGTGGCTGCCCTCAGACCAGACCTGTGTGTGTCAGGAGGGAGGGATAAGGTGAGGCACCCCCACCCTGGGGCACAACGCTCGGTCACAGCCAGGAAAATGTATCGACAGCTTAGGAAAATAAGGTTTAAATGTGAACTTTAAACATTTCTGCCAACGGTAGTGACTTGGTTAGTTCCTGAATTTGGAAAGAAAAGATGTGGTGAGAGTGAGGGCTTAAGGTGAAGCAGTGAATTAAACAGGAGGAGGAAATTTTTGATGCTGAGGGTGGTGAGCAGGCTGCCCAGAGAGGGGGGGAACCTTGGCACCATCCCAGGGGAGGGTGGGGGGGCTCCGAGCACCCTGCTCTAGCTGCAGATGTCCCTGCTCCCTGCAGGGGGGTTGGACTGGATGAGCTTTAAAGCTCCCTTCCAACACAAACCATTCTATGATTCTGTAAATTTTATAACTTCTCCAGAGCTCAGATCACATCAGATGCTCTCAGCCAGGACTGGAATCACTGGACTGGCCCTTCTCTTATGTTACCTAGCAATGGACAGGCTCTAAAGACAATTGTATGTGCTGTAGGAGCTCAAAAGCAGAAGAACCCGTTTCCCCTCCAAGCTTGGAGTGTGCAGGGGTCTCTGTGTAAGGTCTCCCGGGCTGTGTGTGACCCTCTGCCTGCCCCTGCTCCCCCACAGAGCGTGGCTGTCTGCAGCTGGAGATCCGGGGCTGCGCTGCGCCGCTTCGTCGGCCACGAGCGGGAGGTCACCAAGGTGAGCGGCCGCTGGGCGAGCGCCGTGGGGTCTCCTCTACTGAAACCTGTCAGGAGCTGGGGAGCCAGGAGCAGTGGAGCCGTGGTTTGTCATCCCCAGGTCCATCACAAAGAGGGAGCAGGGTAGCAGAGTGCATTAGGTTTTTCCCGAGGTGCCAACTGCTGCCCAGGGAGGCAGCATGGAGTGGTTGCATCCCGACTGAAGAGCGCTGCAGGAGGCTGGGGCGTGTGTTTATCTCCCTCTGCAAGAGACTGTGCAGCAAAAACTCAGGAGGAGTTACTAGGTCAAGTTTTTGATTCAGAGATGCCACTCACTTTTCTTCAGGTCTCACTCCACCAGACTCGTTGTAATTAAGCCACACCCGGGGCCAGTGGGGCTTTAATGTTCCTTCTGGCATCCTGATTCGGATGAGCAGACGTGCAGGGGTGTCTACCTGTGTTCAGGAGCACCTCTGGCTGGGGACAGCCCCTGTGGGCCCCCTGTGCTGGGGGCATCAGAGGGACAAAGGGGCTTCATTCATCCCCGTGCTCAAAGCACTGTGCACTGGGCTCATTTGGGTTTTTAAGGAAATCTTTCCCATAAAATCGATGATTTCAGAGACAATCTGAGAAGACGCACCCACCATCCAGTGCCCCTGTTCTGAGAGGCCCTGGGCCCAGCTGGCAGGTGGCACACATCCCTGCCCCACGTCCCTGCCCCACGTCACTCCATGAGTCCCACGGCCGCGGTTCAGGGGCTGAGCAGTTGTCCCAGCCCTGCTGCTGTGGGGTTGCCCATGGCCAGGACCTGGCAGGACAGAAGCAAGCAGGAGTCAGAGCGTCGGGCAGCCCAGCGTGTGCACACCCAGCGTGGCCAGAGCAGGGTTGGAAGGCTGGGGGACATGACCCCGACATGACCACGGGAGGGTCGTGCTCTCCCCGCGTGCAGCCCGGCGGGTGGGCAGCTAACCAGCTTCTCCCACCTTGGCCTGGGCAGGTCTCCTCTGCCCTCGACTCAGACAGAGTCTTCAGCGCCTCCCGGGACAAGACCGTGATGATGTGGGAGCTCCACGGGACCGCGGGGCCGAGCCAGCACTTCCCAGGGCATGACCTGGTTGTTACTGGGCTGGCTGTGAGCCCGGGTGAGGGACAACTCGCTCCCACTCCCCAGGGATTTCTTGACAACTTCTCGGGAGGTTTTTAACTCTAATTTGTGGTTGCAGATGCCTCCCAGCTGTTCACAGGCTCGCGAGACAACACGGTGTGCAAGTGGGACACGGAGACCGGAGAGTGTCTGGGCAGAGTCGCGATCTCCAGGAATCTGGTAGGAGCTGCTGGTTCCTGCAGCCCACCCTGGCCCCTCGCTGCCTGCCTGGTTATTTTGCACATGCAGAGTGAATTTGCTCTGAGCTGGTGCTACAAGAAGCCCTTGAGGCACTGCGCAGGTCGCCTGTGCACCTGGGGAGACCAAAGCTTGAGGCTGGTTACGCCCTTCTCCAGGTAACAACAAACCCAGAAGGACAAAGATACCAAGAGACGTAGGGGAATTTGTCAATGCTCTGGCTCAGAGCTGGTGGGAAGCACACTGGTGGGGGCTGCATTCCCTCTGCACCAGCCCAGCCTGGGAGCTGGCACGGGTATCATCTTCTGGTGCCTCCAGTACCCCTGCTCCTGTGGATCTGTGTCCTGTCGAGCTGTTGGCACCTCCCTGCACATAACCCTGAGTAACTTGGGATTGACGGGCTTCTGCTCATCCTCTCTGCAGGTCACCCATCTGTGCTGGGTTCCTGGGGAGCCTTACATCATCCAGACCTCAGAGGATAAAACAATCAGGTAAATCCTACGCGTGGCCGCAGAGAAGGGAGTTACAGCCTGGGGCCACGTGGGGTGATGGGAGAGGCTGGTGCACAAGGGGCCGTTTCTTGGGTT